CAAGACCCTGCGTCCCCGGAGCCCTGCCCCCCGATCTAACCACTAATCTCTGCTCCCTTCGTGCATCAGCAATGTGCACCCGCAGGACCCTCCATAGACCGAGGAACCTGCCATCGCTGGGTCACGGAGCGCTATAACTGGAGAGCTCTGCTAACTATAATCCCAGTGTGACACACACACACACACACCCCCCGGCAGGTCTCCCCCATACTCAGCATTTCCCTCCCCACCGCAGTGTCCCTGGGCTCTCTGTCTCCCCCAGGTGGCGTGTGCTGTCATTGCTGGGCTCCTACACTACCTCTTCCTGGCCTGCTTCTCCTGGATGTTCCTGGAGGGGCTGCACCTCTTCCTCACTGTCAGGAACCTGAAGGTCGTGAATTACACCAGCGCCAGCCGTTCAAGAAGAGATTCATGTACCCGTTCGGCTACGGATTCCCAGCCCTGGTGGTGGCTATTTCTGCAGCGGTGAATCCTGACGGCTACGGAACTTCCAAACAGTACGTGCAGCGCCCATCCCGAAGGGGAGCTGGGATGTGGCTTCCATGCGCTTGTCCGGTTCACCCCAAGTCTGACTTGAACCTCGATTTCCCGGCTCACCCTGCCTGGGAGCTGAATGTCCCCCTGGACCCTTCCCATCCCCAGGGACACTAAGTTGCCCCGAGCTCTGTAGTTGAGTTTCCCACCTGTCATACATCTGCTCTCCTCACCCCACTGATGATGTGGAAGAACAAGCCAGAAAGATCCCAGCTTGACTCCCAGCTCCCAAGCTAGGTTTGTGGGCTGGTGGGTAGGAAACAAATGCACCTTCTTCCTGTGTGCAAATCCCTGAGGATCCCCGCTCTAAAGTGAGCGACTCACTAAAACAGGGCGTGGCGTGTTCTAGACACCCCAGGCTAGATCCTCTTCTGGTGTAAATCAGGGCAGATCACTTCCTTCAGTGCAGCGAGGCCAATCTCCATCCACTGAATGTCTGGTCCTTCATCAACACAGCACACTTCCAGCAGAAAGGGTCATTTCAGGGGGTGGAAGAGGAAGTGGTGGCTGAAAGCAGGAGATGCTGAGGTAGATGCAGAGGGCCATTAGCCTGCTACTCACAATAGAGTTGGCCATGTCCCAGGCAGCCTGAGATTCATCTCGCTTTTGAGAGCCAGCTGCCCTGTGACACCCCCTCTCTGCCCCCGGGGCTGAAAAAGGGCAGTAATCCCATTAATGTCACCTTCTTCTTCCTCCCTCCCGCTAGCTGCTGGCTCAGCCTGGAGAGAGGCTTTCGTTGGAGCTTCCTGGGTCCAGTCTGTGCCATAATCCTGGTGGGTACCTCCCAGAACCACAGGGCCCCATTCTGCTCTCACCTCTGCGACCCCATTGATTTCAGTGAAGCAGGGAGGAGAACGTGGCCCATAAAACACAAGGAAAGACCCAGTTAGGTCCCACCTGGCTCATCTGTTGTGGTCAGTCCCAGGATTAGTCCCTGTGCTGTATCCCCAGGCCTACAGCCTTTACTCCAGCACAGCTCCCATGGACATCAGTAGGAGTTTTCCCAAGTGAAGACAACAAGAGTGTGGTCTTGTCTAGTTAATGACCCAGTGAACGAGGAAGGGAGGGGACTATAATCTGGAGTGGTTTTTGTAGTGGCAGAAACAAATGTCCCTATGTATTCCTCCCTACCCCCTGGGGAAGTTGGGGTGGGGGGATTTGTTACAGCCTGAAAGTGGATAGAAGTATTCTAGAGGCAGGATCTGGAATCTCTGAACCAAATCCTACTCTCAGTTACCAGTGTAAACCCAAAATAACTACTGACTCCACT